GCAGGAGGCTGCCGTGGGAGCGCCGGGTGCCCCTCGTCCGTCAGGATTAGCTGCAGCGCCGCCGCCGTGCGCGGCGGGCGGTGGCGGCGGCGGCGGCCGAGCCACCGGCGGTCCGCTCGTCCGGCCGGTGGCGCTGTTTGGCTCGTGCTGGCGCTGTGTGACACCAGCTCTGTGCTCCCACTGTGCTCCGGTCGGGTTCCAGCCTGACACCGGTTCCGTACCCTGGCACCGACTCCTCTGTGCCGGCACTGTTGGACTCCGGCTCCAGACGAGAGCTGTCTAATACCGACTCCGGACCTACTGGCCACGGATCTGGGATGCCCGGCGCTGAGTCCGGACTTGGGCCGTTCGGCACTGATTTCGGATCTGGGTTGTCTGACCCCGGCTCAGGATCTGGGGTGTCCGACCTCGGCTCCAGACGAGAGCTGTTTGACGCCGACTCCGGACCTACTGGCTCCGGATCTGGGATGTCCTGCGCTGATTCCGGATCTTGGGTGTCCGGCACTGGTTCCGGATCTGGGCTGTCTGACCCCGGCTCCGGACCTGGGGTGTGCGACCCCGGCTCCAGACCAGAGCCAGCCGGCATCGGCCCGACTCTGCCCCTGGGGTGCCGTGGGACGGTGTGACGCATTGGGAGGCCAGCTCTGCGGAGCAGACTAATCCGGGGAGCGGCCGACCTCCCCCGCCGCTCGGCGGCCGGCCGCGGCGCCGCCGCCGCCGCCGCCGCCAGCACGTGAGCTGTCTGGGATCGCCGGCCGACTGCAGGAGATGGACGACGAGACGTGCCCGGAATGGCCGTCCCGACGCTGACCTCATGGTCGGCCGCCGACTGGATGCCGGCTGGCCGCAGCGTGCTGCGAGCTCACGTCTGCTACATTGCATGTTCATATAAAGCCCGCCCTGGCTGGCGGTCACCGCCTTGGTGTGTGGGCGTGGAACCGGCCGAGCTTGTCAGCAATCGGCAGGAAGATCGTCCTTGCCCTTCCCAGCATTCGGGGTGTGACACCGGCGGCTCGGGGCGGATTTAGGGGTGCGCCGCCCTTCGCCGTTTCTATCAAGATGGTCTGCATCCTGCGGTGAACCACTTACATGTATCGTGAATTCGAGCTCACGAGACAACTATTTTGAACGGCTTGGGTTTGGAGATGGCCCTACGTTGCCGTGGCTTTGGCATGCGGATGCTGCTAGATGTTACGCGACAGCCCTGAGTTCTGAAACAAGCATAGGACTGGGAGCTGTCAGCAACTGCAGCTTTCACCAGCCTGTACATAAAGCTGTACACGCATGTGAAACTCTCGCCGAATCGTCAAATATCGGAGACCTTTAGTGAGGCACGGAAATGCCTGAACACACCACATTCTGAATGCTAAATTTCGAAGTTTTTACGACTTCGCCCGCACTCGAAAGTTGTGTCATAAGGGAACCGAGTTCTCCCGATGAGTTTCGTCAGTGAACAACACTGTGAACGGCACCGGTCCCGTTGCATAGCCGAGGCACGCCACCAATCTCACTTCCTGCTCCAAAACGCCGCCTGAGGAGCAGCTGTCACGTTTTCCGATTTATCCGCGTTCCCATGTCAAATCCACCGTCTCGAAGCAGCTCTGCCCATCTGGTTCTGGTTTTAAACCGCAAACGATTATGATCCTAAGCGGCCCGAGGCGAATCTAGTTCCGACTAATGCAGCTGGAGCATGAGAGATTCTCACAGCTTGACGAGCGCTCGGACGCAGCCGCACAGCAATCACCTTGCACTGGCTTGTCGCTCGCGCTTGTCGAGCGGCGCGCACTCGTAATGACAGCGGCAAGGGTACATGCCGAGAATTACCTCCCCTAGTCGCGGGCTTGTCCGTGCCAGAGCGTCGTTTGTCGTGCGTCGACATGCGACAGGCCTTGTCTCTCAGCGGTCCGTTTCCAACTCACTGGCCTGTTTGAGGAAGCGAGTCGTGGGCAGGTCCCATGAGCAGGTGCGCCGAAGACCACCTGGCGGTGCCGACTGCTACTTACCGTCTGACGCCTCTGGCGCACACCGTGTCACGGCTCTTGAAATGTCGCCTCTGGCGTACACCGTGTCACGCCTCTTGAGATGTCGCCTCTGGCGTCCACCGTGTCACGTCTCTTAAGATGTCGCCTCTGGCGTCCACGTGTCACGCCTCTTGAGATGTCGCCTCTGGCGCACACCGTGTCACGTCTCTCGGGATGTCGCCTCTGGCGTCCACGGTGTCACACCTCTTGAGCTGTCGCCTCTGACGTCCATCGTGTCACGCCTCTTGAGACGCCGCCTCTGGCGTACACCGTGTCACGCCTCTTGAGACGCCGCCTCTGGCGTACACCGTGTCACGCCTCTTGAGACGCCGCCTCTGGCGTACACCGTGTCACGCCTCTCGGGATGTCGACGGACGATCCCAGGCACGTGCGACCGCCGCTGGCGGTCTCAGCAGACGTCCCGCCGGTGCTGTCGGAGCGGCGCCGGCTCCCGCGGCCGCCGCCCTTGACCCGTGTGCTGCTGCCGCGAGATGGCAGGCGTGGACAGGTCTGATGGACGGGATGCGGCACGCGGGCAGTGACTGTGACCTGAGCGGTGGGTCATCACGGCCGCGAAGTCTGCGCAATTACGGAAAACGGCATGCTCTTGCCCAGCCGAACGGCTCTTACATCCCCGAGAGAGCACCACGTCCACGCCGACACCGTCCATATCCGACATCAGTCTGTCCATATCCGACAAAACAGCCGTCCATCCGCGACACGCGGCAGTCCGTCCATCCCTGGCAGGGCGGAGCAGTTGGCGTTGGCTGCCTTGGACTTGGATCTGGTCGCAGTGAGTCGTGGCCAGCGTCGCTGGACGGCTTGGCTCACTGCAGCGGAACGGTGTTTGCCTTTTGGGGCTGATAGGCACCCCAACTACACCCACGTCCGTCTTCGCTGTGACCATGGAATCGGCACGCAAGCGAGAGCTGACACGTGCACCATCGACTAAGCCCGGTTGTCCGGTGTGAGCAGCCTGTCGCCGTCGCTCCACCCGCCGTGGACGGCTGGGCGCGGGTGTGGACGGACGTGGACGCGGCGCTGACGCCCGACGCCGATGTGATCTCGGCGCTCATCTCTGCCTCAGCGCCAGGCGCCGGAGCATCGTACTCGTTCAGATCTGATTTCGGGACCGGTCTGAGCCGTCGGCGGGCGGCGCCGTCCGTCCGCCGCCGTACAGCCGGCCGGCGCCGCGCGCCCTCCGCGCGGGCGAGGCCGGTCAGCGGCGTTCGCCGGCGCGCCGCTTCTCCACGGACGCCGAGACAGGCGACTCGAGGTCGATATTGTCCTCGCCTGCCGCCTGCCGTGCGTGAGGTGTGGCGGTGGATTCGAGCGGTGTGAAGCGTCTGCCCCAGGACACCCCAATTCCTGGCAGAATGTTAGCTTATCATGATGTTACCTGAACAAGCTCGGCACCAACCCCAGAGAGAACTGAGCACCGCTATGGTCGCGGGATCCTGTGTCCACAATCTGACACAAGCTGACACGTTGCAGCTCAGACCAACATTCGACACCTGGCTGCCTGGCGCGGCCTCGGCGGCTTCAGTGCCCGGTGCTCCTGCGGGAGGCGGGGAGCCGGGTGCCGGGGCCGGACGTGCAGAGTAGCGACCTCGCTCGGCCCATCCCGTCCGCCTCCGGGCCGCTGTCCGGAGTCAATGGACCCGGCCAGCGCCCGGTCCACGTCTCAAGCGACGTCCCATCCCATTGTTGGTCGGTGTACCGTGGCGTGTCTGGCCACTGCCGGCCGATCGCTGGAGCACCGACCGTCAGCCGGCCTCGTCTGGAGCAGGGCGCCGTTGGTCGGCCCAGGTCACGCTGGAGAAGTGGAGGGGACGATCAGCTTGGTCTCGGTCGAAGAAGGGGGCGGTTGGTCAGCTTGGTCTCGGTCGAAGAAGGGGGCCGTTGGTCAGCTCGGTGTCGGTCGGAGAAGGGGGCCGTTGGTCAGCTCGGTGTCAGTCGGAGAAGGGGGCGGTTAGTCAGCTCGGTGTCAGTCGGAGGAGGGGGCGGTTGGTCAGCTCGGTGTCAGTCGGAGAAGGTGGCGGTTGGCCAGCTCGGTGTCAGTCGGAGAAGGGGGCGGTGGTCATCTCGGTGTCAGTCGGAGAAGGGGGCGGTTGGTCAGCTCGGTGTCAGTCGGAGAAGAGGGCCGTTGGTCAGCTCGGTGCCGGTCAGGGGAAACGGAAATTCAGTCAGCTCGCCATTAACTCTAGGCAAGGAATGACAGGTCACTACAGTGGTGACCGTCACTAGGTGGTACCAGGAATCTTTCGGTCATCGCTGTGTAGTCTGGGTCGGGGAGGGAGCAATTACGTAGGGTTTTTGCGGACGCTCATTGAATAACAATAACACATGTTTGGGAAGGACCATACATATATATGATTCAACATACGCTAAGACGTGTTGATCTGTTTAGTATGAGCCGGATAGACACGGCAAAACTCCTCTAATCGTTACTACTATTCAATACTTTTGCTTCATACCAAACACACAACTCACAGCTCTACTCGCGGAGCCTATGCAATTATATTCCTCCAGCGAGTTTAAAATGGAGCGTTTACTGAGAAATTGGAAACATCTGGACGTGATCCGTCCATCCATAACCTGCACCCACAGCTATAAGCAGCCAGTAAACTATGCGCAAATGAAGTTGAATGTCTGATCAAACCACTGTGCCATTAGAGTTTATGGCACTTCTGCTATTCCCACTTGCTCGCCAAGAGCCGTTTATGGGTTCCAGAGAGGTCCACGAATCAGGTGCTGGGCCAGCAAACTGATTACACAGCGCTGCCTCATAAAATGTCCGCGGGCTGATTCCTGTCCAACTCCGCCCGTCCGCGCGCTGCTCTGAGGGCCGGCTCGACGGCTGCACTGAAGGCCGGTCCGGCTGTGTTTGCGGGCGGGTATTGAAGTCGCCGCGTCAGTGTGATCCCAACTCGCGAAGTGGTGCGTGGTTACACAGCCCGTGCGCTCCCCGCTCGGTGTTCATGAGGTGTGTCGCGAGCGCTCGGGGGCTGGTGCCGCGCCGCTGATGGTGCCGAGCACCTCACCCTGCAAAGGAACGCGACTCAGACTTATCGGTGGGACTATTGACTCAACAGAGGTGTAGATCACCGCACGCAGCGGCGAGGCACCATGTTCGGCAGCTTGAAGCAGAAGTTGCAGTCGCTGAGCCCTCTGGCCAGCCCGGTGGCCAGCCCGAACTCATCGCCGCGGCCGCGTCGACGGCTGCCGTTCGGTCGGCGGCCCGGCGCGCCGCCGCCAGCGGCGGCAGGAGTACCGCGAGGTGCAGTCCGACCCCGAGTGCGACTACGGCTCGACCCGGCGCCCCCCGCGCCAGCACGGCGACTCGGCGCGCGGGCTCTTCCTGGACGACTTTCTACGACGAGCGTGACGGGGAAGGCGGTGCGGAACGGGCGGCGCCGAGCCGGGCTCTGGCCACCCTGCCACCGCGGGACGGGCCCTCGGGACAGAGTCAGGTACAGGTCACCCCAACATCCCCTGTGGCCTCAGGAGGGTCAGGTACAGGTCACCCCAACACCCCTGTGCCTCAGGAGGGTCAGGTACAGGTCACCCCAGCATCCCCTGTGCCTCAGGAAGGGTCAGGTACAGGTCACCCCAGCATCCCTGTGCCTCAGGAGGGTCAGGTACAGGTCACCCCAGCATCCCCTGTGCTCAGGAGGGTAGGTACAGGTCACCCCAACATCCCCTGTGGCCTCAGGAGGGTCAGGTACAGGTCACCCAGCATCCCCTGTGCCTCAGGAGGGGTCAGGTACAGGTCACCCCCAGCATCCCCTGTGCCTCAGGAGGGTCAGGTAAGGTCACCCCAACATCCCTGTGCCTCAGGAGGGTCAGGTACAGGTCCACCCCAGCATCCCCTGTGCCTCAGGAGGGTCAGGTTACAGGTCACCCCAGCATCCCCTGTGCCTCAGGAGGGTCAGGACAGGTCACCCCAACATCCCCTGTGCCTCAGGAGGGTCAGTACAGGTCACCCCCAGCATCCCCTGTGCCTCAGGAGGGTCAGGTACAGGTCACCCCAGCATCCCCTGTGCCTCAGGAGGGTCAGGTACAGGTCACCCCAACATCCCCTGTGCCTCACGGAGGGTCAGGTACAGGTCACCCAACATCCCCTTGTGCCTCAGGAGGGTACAGTCCCCTGTGTGCCTCGGAGGGTCAGGTACAGGTCACCCCAGCATCCCCTGTGCCTCAGGTAGGGTCAGGTACAGGTCACCCACACGCATCCCTGGCCTCAGGAGGTCAGGTACAGGTCACCCCAGCATCCCCTGTGCCTCAGGAGGGTCAGGTACAGTCACCCCAACATCCCCTGTGCCTCAGGAGGGTCAGGTACAGGTCACCCCAACATCCCTGTGCCGGTAATCAGGTGCTCAGGAGGGTCAGGTACAGGTCACCCCAACATCCCCTGTGCCTCAGGAGGGTCAGGTACAGGTCACCCCGGCAATCCCGCGCTGATTTCCAGGACAGAGTCGGCTTCCGATCACCCCAGTACACCTGATCATCAAGGCAGAGTCAGGTGCTGATCACCCCGGTGCCCCTTGATCCTCAGGTCGGTCAACCCGGCACCCCTGATCCTCAGGAAAGAGTCTGATCGTGGTCCACCCCCAGCATCTCCTGATTCTCGGGACAGTCAGGCACAGGTCACCCCGGTACCCCTTGATCTTCATTATGATCAGGTACTGGTCGCCAGGTCCGGGCCCTGCTCACATCGCCACACGTTGATGCCTCAGGATTCTCTGGGTATTCACAGGGGACTCCCGCTTCCGTAAGCTGTTTCTGAGTCAGACACCGCTTAAGAAAAGCCGAATATCGGTACCATGGGGATTATATAAAACATTTTGGGTCTGCACCCGTCACACACTGCATAGCTTCGAAAGCATTGCTAGCAAGCAGTTGCAATAAGACGCATATTGTGTTTTATGCTATGCATTGCTCGCACATAAAACTGCGCATTAACCATATCGAACATTGATAAGCTCTCGTCCAGCTTTTGCTGCTCACGTCGGCTTGTCATCTCCGTGTATCAAGTACTTACACGAAGGATGAAGCGGATTTATAAGTCAGAATGGAGCGGTGAGCAGTCATATGTGCAGCAAGTGCAAAATATTGACAACAACTCTGTGCCTGTCGGCGGTACAGGTGTGCTGCGAAGTGTCGAATGGCATTTTCGTGCGCCGCATTAACCGCATTAACGTTATGCTTCTTTAACCTTCAAATTGCACTATCAGTGATCTGTTTCGTGATGTTTCCTTTTAACTTTGTGTATGACATATTTGTTACATATATGTCATATATATATATATATATATATATATATATATATATATATATACATATGTATATTGCATATATGAACATTCAATCTACTAAGGTCCGATTGCATAACATGAGGGGGAGAGCGTGACGCCAGTGTCAGGAAGAGATGGCGACGTTAGCGGCCGAGCAACGACATCGTCAGTCCCTGATATCGTGACAAGCCGATCAACGCCGCAGGGGCCACGCCGTCAGTCCCGTCAGACCCTGAGGGATCTCCCAGTCAGTTCCCCCTCCCCGAGACCGGCTCATCTCAGATGACGCCACGTCCATCGGCGTTTCAGGCTCTGACATGAGCGACCAGCGGTGCCTCTGGGCTCGCGCAGCACCGAGCCCGCCGCGCGGGCCGCCGCCGCACTGCCGCGTCCCCTAATTATGAACACGGCTGTGCAGCGGAGCGTGGCGGCAAGCACGCGTGCGTCACGGATACATGCATCGGACGGGCAGATACGATCCGAGCGGGCGAGCCCGTCGCCCGGCCCGCGAGCGATCGGCCGGGAGCGGACCGGGACCGGGATTGGGATCGGGACCGGGACCGGGATCGGGACCGGGATCGGGATTAGGACCGGGACCGAGATTGGGACCAGGATCGGAACCGGGACTGGAACCATGATTGGGATC